GCTCAAGCACACTCGAAGCCGCACGCTCACATGAAAACACTGACATGACGCGAGTGTCAGGGCTCTGTCACAAAACTATGAATTACACTAGACCGAAGTGACAGAACCCTGACAGGTTCGTGAAAAATAGCTAGAACTTTAAGCAGGCTGTGTGAATTTTACTGTGGACTGACTGTTTTGAAACTTATATGGTAGTTACATAGCACCTAGCCCTCAGTTATCATGAAAAAAAGCCAGGAAATTTCAGTTTTGACAATATGGGACCTTTAAGAATGGACAAAATAACGCTAAACTGCACAAACTGAAAGACTGAAAAAAGTGTGATGTTTATTATGCAATTTCTCTATGCCTAGTCAAAGATTTAGTCGAGTGGTCAAACCACAAAAAACACATACTTGTTACTGAAAAAATGGCCTATACATTGTTTATCTGCTAGGTTACGATTAAAGGTTTCATTTTTTTGTGTGTGTGTATGTGTGTGTGTGGATGAGTGCATATTCACTACTGTTCAAAAGTTTGCCGTCAGCAAGATTTTCTTAAGAAATTAATACTTGTATCAAGAAAGGGTACATTAAACATTTTAAAAAAGACATTTATAATGTAAAGAAATGATTTCTATTTGAATAATCACACTTTCCACAAAAATATTAAGCAGCACAACTGTTTTCAACATTAAGTACGTTTACATGGCCAACAATACTCAGATTTTAATACGATTAAGACAATACTCTGATTAAGAATCTACCATGTAAACAGAGATTTTTGATTACCTTAATCCGACTAAAGTCATAATCGTAGTAAACAGAAATCGAATAATGTGGAGTATTCCTATTTTAGTCACATTACTGAAGTGCAGAATAGACATGTAAACACCTTAATCACATTATTACTGTCGTGTAGGACTTTTCGCCGCTTTTTGCGACAGGATACACACACGCCAGTGCTCAACCGTTTGACGGCAAATAAAAGAGCTTCAACGCCCGCCGTCGTCAGTATACGACTTTCAAATAATTAACTGCACTTGAAGCTTT